TGGATAAAGTGTACAGAGAACCAGATCTACTGCCTTGGAGTCAAGATGGAGTTCCTGAGTTTGGGAGGCTGTCCAGGTTTCTAAAGGTACTAAGTCCAGCAACTCCCTGTGGTGCTGACGGTCACAGTCCCTTACAGGCTTGGCTTAACAGAGTCAGAAAACTTTTGGCAAATGACTTTGAAATGAGGACTAAAATGATGTGAATCTTGAGGAAAAAACAGAAAATGTATCAGGTTAAATCAGAGAAACATGAACAGCACAAACAGAATTAAAAACAAACAAATAAAAAAAACTCTCACCTTGACTCAGAAAGCCAAACATTATAACCTGAGTTACTGGAAACATCACTTGACCCTGACCACTGCTCAGAGTAGAGCTTCAGCAGTTACACTGCGACCCAGTGTTTTCTGTTTTTGTTTTAAGTTTTATTCTGAGAATTGTGACTTTCTGTCTTGTATTTCCTCTTTTACCTCTTTTAAAACACGCACGTCCAGTGTTCAGTGTTTTGGGTTTTGCTTCACTGTTGTCTTGTCTAATTAGGTTCAGCTGTGTCTCCCTCCTGTCTGCCATTTTCTTGTTACCTTGTGTGTATATTTAGTGCGTGTTTACCTCTGTTCTTCGTTGCCGTTACATGTATTCCGTTACTCCCCAACACTGGAGGCTATAAGCAGATTCTGTTTCTGTGCTGTGATGAGCTCTGAAACATGACTGAAACTCTTCAAATAAGCCATTCGTCTGCAGATGATCTGTTAGCTGTTTGACAACTACTCTTTCAAGAATGTTTGAGATGAAAGAAAGCTAAGACTAACTGGCAAAGATTGCTGGGTCAAGAGAAGGCTTTTTAAGTAAGTGTTTAACTACTACCAGCTTGAAGGCCTGTGGTACATAGCCGATTACTAGAGACAGGTTGATCATGTTCAAGATTGAAGCATTAATTAATGGCAGGACTTCTTTGCGCAGTCTTGTAGAAATGGGGTCTAAAAGACATGTTGATGATTTGAGGAAGCAGTTACTGAAGTTAACTCAGAAAGACCAACTGGAGAAAAAGACTCTATATGAATATTAATGGCACTGAAAGTTGCTGTAGATAATGTTACATCTGTGAGATGATTATGAGTATTTTTTCTCTAATGGTTCAAATTTTATTTGTGAAGAAGTTCATGAAGTTATTACTAGTTAACATTAAAGGAACGGTTGAGTCAACAGCGGTCTGATTTTTTGTCAGCATGGCTACAGTGCTGAAGAGAAACCTTGGGTTGTTCTTATTTTCTTTAATCAGTGATGAATAGAAAGATGTTCTAGCTTTACAGAGGGCTTTCTTATAATGCAGCAAACTAAAGCAAAAAGATGATCTTCTAACTTTGTTTTACGCCATTTCGTCTCCAGCTTATAAGTTATCTGCTTTAAGGTGCGTGTTTGAGAGTTATACCACAGAGTCAA